AGTGGGGTCTGTGGGTCATCGAGCCTCTCCTGCTCCTGCCACCTCCTCACCACCATCCCTCTCTTCTCATCTTGCAGTTGAGAGACGGCGAAGGTTTAACATCAACGACCGCATCAAAGAGTTGGGGATGCTGATCCCCAAAGCCAACGACCTGTACGTATCCATGGGTTCTGTGGGGCTGGGATAACTGTGGGTCTCCTGGGCTCGCTCGAGGGGCAAGCGATACTTGCAGAGGGGCTTTTTGGTGGAGTAGGGGTGAGGGGACACATTGCTGGCACACAGGTGGCAATCTGATTTTCCACCCTGCACGGCAGAGACGTGCGCTGGAACAAAGGGACAATCCTGAAGGCGTCTGTGGACTACATCAAGAGGATGCAGAAGGACTTGCAGAGGTCACGAGACCTGGAGAATCACTCGCGGCGTCTGGAGATGACAAATAAGCAACTGCTGCTCCGCATCCAGGTGAGCTTCCTTCTGCTCTTCCCTCCTTCCACTCTGCTCCAGCCCCACGAGTAGCTCCTGCCCTGCCAAGGGGACAGGCTTGGGTTCTCCTCCCTCTTATGGCTGTCAAGTCACCAGGAACAAAGTCTTCAGACAAACCAGATGTCTGAGGTTCAGGTCACCACAGCGAGTGTTGTTGAGCTTTGCATGGGTCACCGTTTTCCATCCTTCACCTCTTCTCTGGGCTGCTTTTCTGTGAGCTTCTTGGTCCCTCTGTCCCTGCCACCTCCGTGAATTGTCCCCGTGCGCAACGTCCTCACCAAAGACCTCCTGTGCTCTGTTGGCAGGAGCTGGAGATGCAGGCACGTGTCCACGGGCTGCCCACCTCCTCACCCTCGGGTGTCAACGTGGCCGAGCTGGCTCAGCAAGTGGTCAAGCAAGAAGCCAGCGGTGACGAGGGGACACTGGAGCCACTGCTGCCACCTCCAGACCCTGAATCGCTGCCACAGCCAGCGTTGCCTCCACCACCCCAGTCTCCTTACCACCAGCTGGACTTTACCCACAGCCTGAGCTTTGATGATGGCTCCCGGGGCTTCCCAGACAGCCTGGAGCCCGGCCACAGCGCTTCCTTCCCATCCTTATCCAAGAAGGAGCTGGACTTGATGCTGATGCAGGACACCATGCTGCCCCTGGCCTCCGACCCCTTGTTCTCAGCCATGTCTCCAGAGGCTTCCAAGGCCAGCAGTCGCCGGAGCAGCTTCAGCATGGAGGATGCAGACATGCTGTGACAAAAAGCTGCTCCAACGCTGGGGGCATGGACTGGACCTTCAAGTTTGGTTAGTGAAGTTACAGGGCACTCCTCTCGCAGGAGGAGCCCGTCCTGCTGCGCACTTGAATCTTCGTAGGAGTACCTTTTCTCTATGCAATGGGGGTCTCGGATCAAGGCTCGCCGGGTACCACCGTGTCTTTTGCAAGTTGTTTTGTTTTGTTTTTTGTTTTTTGGGGTTTTTTTTTGCCAGGAGCTGGCACAGAACTTCTTGGCTTTGCCATGGCGTTGGCCTGACTGCAGATTCCCCAGCCCTGGGAGTGTGATCTTGGCTGCTTTGCCTTTCAGTGAAATCCTCCCAGAGTAAAACTCCTTCCCCAGGGTGTTGGCTCGGGGCTGGAGCAGGCAGGAGCCTTCAGGTTCCTGGGAGGAGAGGGATGATGCTCAGAGCTTTTTGTCAGGCTTGCTGCCTCCCTGCCACCCTGCTCCAGGAGCCCGCATCCCCCATGAGTCTTCCTCAGCGGTGTCCTCCAAGCCCTGCAGATGCTTCACAGTGCCAAACCCTTCACGGTTCCTCCTCAGAGCAATCTTTGCCTCTCCGGGTGACAGAGCAGGAGGGAGAAAGGGTGTTAATTGGAGCAAGTTAATTGACGAGGCATAGGGGATGTTGTCTGAGTGAGTGGAGTCTGAGGCTACAAATTTAGGTTGACATTGAGGGCTTCCAAAACAGCTGGGACGGGGTGTTTGATGCACAGTCAACCCCCTGCTGTGACCCCCCGTCTTGCCAGGGGACCTCCCCTCAGGGTTTGGCAGCACCCACCATCCCAAAACCTCTGTGGGCTCTAGACAAGGGCTGCATGGTGCTGAGCAACCTTCAGCATCCATCAAGACATCCTTGCAGACATCTGCCCTGTAACATCAAGCCCCAGCTCTTGGAGTGGAAGGATAGAGGGTTTTTACACATTTTTGGGGGGATATTTGTTGAAAGTGTATATCTTGCCCCTCACCTGAGCATGAAGGTCCAGGCTCTGGCTGGGGACCAGGAAGGAGATGGTTTGTACCAATTGCCAAACCTGAGCTGCTGCTCTCTGCTTTTGGCTCATGGGGTTTCTCTTCCCAGTGTCACCAGCTCGTTCCCCAGCCAGGATGGCTCAGTGACAGGGAGCTGCTTTAGGTTCTGCATCATCTTCTTCCTCCACAGACTGGCTGGTGGTGGGGAGGGTGCTGGGCAGGGGAGGAGGATGCTGTTCACAGGGAAAAAAACCACACAAATTTGTTGTAAAGCCCAAAGGGGGGTGTTGGGGACAGGAGACCCCTTTGTCATCCCACACAGTGTCACCCCCCTGGGCTGTGGGAGCTGTGGCTGGATGGACAGGAGCCAGTGCAGGGATAGGGGTCACTGGGTGCACCCTGTCCTGGACCAAGGATGGGGGATGTCATGGGGTTTGGACCCCAAGGGGAAAGCCCAGCCAGCCCCACTGCTGAGGAGGGGTGAGCTTGCTCCATCATGGCTTGATTTGGGATTGTGAGGTGGGGGACAGCCCGGTGACCCCCTGGAGAGGTGTGTGTTGGATGTGATAGTGCAGGGAAGTGCAGAAGGTGGGGAGAAGATGGAGAAAGGAAGAGGGAGGAGGTGTCAGAGGTGTTGTGAAGGGTTGGGACAGGGCAGGGTCTGGCTGCTGCCCTACGGGGGTGCAGGGAAGGGAGTGGAGGGGACGTTGGGGTGCAGGATGAGGGGCACTAGGCTGTGTGCTGGTGGGTTTGGGGCTGTGTCACTCCACATGTTCACAAGAGACTTTGGCATCCCTCATGCACTGCCATTAGTGCCTGTAAAGAGAATAATCCACCCTGGCAGGGCGGCAGCACCCCGTACGCCATGCTGAGTACCTATAGACACTATAGTGTGATGGGTGGCTCCACATGGGCACTTCAGGGTGACCCTGTGAAATCGTGGTCACTTGGGATCATCAGGGCTATAAGGTGGTTGTGCTGGGCTCTCGCTGGTGGTACATGGCCCACTCTGTGCTCTGCTCTCCTGGCACCGGTGGGCAGAGGACCACGAGATGTGGTATCTCCCCTGGCCCTGAGTAAACAGTTGTGGATTATTATATTATTATTATTATATTTTTTTAATCTTTTGGGGGGTTTGTTTGTTGTTTTTTTTTTTTTTTTTAATGCACTGTGCTCTGATTAAAAAATTTTACTACTGTTTTATAAAGAAATGTATAAAAGAATGAACTGGAATGGAAGAAGAATCATTAAAATATATTTATTTACAACATCCTGGAGTGTTGCAGAGTGGACTGTTTCTTCTGATCTTGGAGGAGGGAGGGTCATGGAGCTCCAAGCACCCAGAGCTGCTTTCCCCCAGCAATGCCAGGGCTGTGCCCAAAGGTTGGGCTGCAGCATCCCCATCTTGCAGGGGAGCTGCCCTGGATTTGGGGGGCTGCTTGGGGGCTGGGTTTTTTTTTTACCTGGCATGATTAGAGGGAGGAAGCACTGATGTTCCTTCATTCAGCTGGTCCCAGACTGGTTTAGGGTTTTCAGGGTCTCTCTGGGTTCCAGCCCTGCAGTTGGGTGCTTTGGGGAAGATCCACAGCTCCCAGTACTGAGCACAGCTGGGACTTGTGAGGTGCTGACCCATCTGCTGATTGCTTAATTGGAATCAGGCTTGGCACCTTAATTAAGAATAGTCACAAGACCCCAGAGAGCAGAGTTGGAAGGAGTTGTGTCCCTGGGGCTGAGCATGGTGCCAGCAGTGAGGCAGGTTTGTGGTGTTTGTACTGGTTTATACTGGATGAGAGCGATGGTGGAGTCATCCCAGGAGCTCAGGTGTGTTGGGTGGCCCCTGGGGCTGGGGGGGGGGCTTTGCTGTACCCCTCCTCACTGCTGGGGCTGGCTTAGAATCACCCCTGGGTGCTGCAAAACCCCTTTGGGTGCCTGCACCTCTGGGTGTTCCTCACCTTCTGTTTGCAAACCTGCTGTGGGCTGGGGACCCTCCTGCCCAGTGCCAGCAAAGGGAAAAATACATTTATAAAGTCCAGCTGCCTGGCTGAGCGTGAGCTGAGACCTTGCCTGGCAAAACTCATCACATGCCATGTTTGTGGATGCTGTGCTTCTCTGTGTGTGTGGAGCCACATGCCAGGTTCGTGCTGCTGGTGTTAAACATACACACACCAAAAATAAAAAGAAAGGTAAAAAAAGAAAATCCACCTTAAAATAGACTTCCCAGGATGGAAAATCACAGGGGCTAATCTTGGAAACTTTATTAAAAGAAGAAGGAGGGGGGTAGGGGGGAAAGAGGGAGGAGACTGAGGGGGGAAGAGAAAGAGTAAGTAGTTTCAGACACTTTAAAAAAAAAAAAAAAAAGAATCCTGATTTGATTTATCTGGGGAGTGTGAACACTAAATAGAGAACAACGCCTGAAGTGTGAATTATTTCCTATATTAACACAGAGAAAAACTGATAGCCTTTTCATGTCAAGAGAATAGCGTGGAGGGGAGGGAGGGGGGGAGAATGACATTGTTCAATCTCGGGGTTTGCTCACTCTTTATCAGGCTGAGATCAAAATTTATTCCCAGGATGAGGCCTGCGGCCCGGCTGAGGCCCTAGAGATTTTTAAGGGCCTAATTAAGAAAACAGGATGAAAATGGCGAAATAAGAGGGCAATTTACTTCTTGCAGAATAGGGAGATCAAATCAACTTATGAGCAATTAATGTGCACAAGGAGAGAATAAAGGGATGCCGGGATATGGTAGAGGGCCTCATTTTAATGACATGCTCTGGTGTTGGCATAGAGGATTACTCTGAAGGTCAGATGTAGATTGAAACGACCTTGCAGATTCTTAACCCTCCTTCCAATTAACAGAACCAACTCAGAAATGCAAAAGACCCTGGCTTGGAGCACTGTCATCCCTTTATGTTCAGAAGGATTTGAGAGGGAAAAAAGGGGGGGGGGGGGAAATAAAAAAAATTATAAAGGAGAGCCAGGACGAAAGGGGGTTTCCTTGGTTTAAACAGCAGCTGCTGGAGACTGGAGCTGGGGCAGGCGGGAGAAAAAGGCTCTTAATTACAGTCTGTGAGCCACCCACAGAAAAAAATATATAAAATAAATCGGTGTCAAGGCTCCAAGTGGGATATAAAAGGGAGAGAAATGCTGAAATGCTGGTTGGGGCTGTGGCGGGTGTGATGAGCTGTGGCTGGGCTCAGCCCATGGGGATGGACACAGAAGTGGGATGGGGAGCCAGTGGCAGGTCACTGCTGCTCCTGGTGCCATCCCTTTGCCATCGCACCGAGGGGATTTGGGGTGCTGCACCCCTGGGGGTCCTCGCCTCTGCTTCCTCCCCCCACCCGTGACACTATCTTGGTGGCACTGCTGATTTCACACAGGCTGTGGCACTTTTTCCTGCTGTCCCAAGCAACATCGTGGGGGTTTTTTTCAGGGGGATGAGGAGGTGGGAAGGTGCCAACAGGAGCTGGGTGGGCAGCGGCTGGCCCCG